CCCCAAAACCCCAAAACCCCAAAACCCCATTTTGAGTGGATTTTATAGAAATTTATAGAAAGTTGTGAGAAATGGGGAGTTTTTTGGGAGTAAAGAAAGAGGAAGAAGGGAAGGGTATAGTGAGAGAGAAGGAAGAGCAGTTACTTAAGCAGGAGAAGGAGCTTAATATGAAGATTCTGAAGGCGTGTAATTTGCAAGGGGTTTAAATAAAGCTTGCTGTTCACTCTACAAGACATATCTGCAAGATACAAACCAGAGATTGTACTATTATGTAGACCTAGGTTGCCCTATTGGCTACCTTCAATTATGTGTACTGAAATAAAGAACTAGCTGATGAATATAATGATGGAATTCAACCGCAAGGATTCTTTAGAGTCATGTATATCCCTGGCACCCCTCCTGTCTCTATTTTTAAGAAGACTAACTTAGTGCCTTTTAGTAAAGATTCCTGGTTTAACTGAATTGGGAATAGTCTGTGTAATCAACAATTACTTAGTGAGGACCATTGAAATAGAAGTAAGTCAAATTTTTCAGACTCTGGCACAATTTTTAAATAGTTAATATTCGTATTTTTAAGATGTATCCAACTATCATCCATTTTCTTAGATACAAACTTTGAAAACTTGGGTAAAGATCATTATGAATCAGAATAGAAAGACTAGCTTAGTCGTACCTTATTCTTCTGAATTCTAAAAATTACATCATCATGAAATTCTAATTCCCCAATGTAGGCTTGACTCTGATACACGATTTATCAGGTAAATTTTGGAAGAGCGTCATGTATAAAACTCTCAACACACATACCAAAAGAATAACTTTAACAGGATTAAAACTCAGCAGTAGAGATATTGAAATTATCATCTGAGGTAGAGGAATGGGTAAGGTTACATTTGACTGCTGCATTATACCGACCCAGAAGGACTCATATAAGACATTGCATAACAAGGTATGACAAAAGAGGCTTAATCCACTGTTCGGTGGTGTAGAGGTGTTGAGAACGATCAAATCGAATTGACATAACTATACCATAATATCTTCATAAAATAAAACTATTAATTAAAACTCAACCTGCTTGAAGGAGCCAGGGGTTTTGGGGTTTTGGGGTTTTGGGG